AGAGCTCGACACCTTGAAACTCATCCACGGGGCAAAGCACCCTTATCCTACATCTGGTGTGTATATGGATTTGCAGATAAAACCCACAACCCATTCTAGCATGCAGTCGTCATGAGGTTGGGAATGCTTGCTCGCATGCGATCGAGTCTAGCTATCAAAACAAGTGTCTATGAAGCAACTATCAGTAATCCACTATCATGAGCTCTGGTTAGGGTTGCTCCCGTCGTGCACCCGGAGATCTAGACCCTACCGGTGACCACAATGGGAGACAAATATGACACACGAAAGATTCAGAAGAGGTGGATACGCAAACATGTACTTCCTATATTGTGTAAAAGGACCTGGGTTCGTGGTTGAGCAACGATATCGACCAACTTTACAGTTAGCTGGACTCCTAGAATGCAATCATACTTTCATACTCCATACTGCCCTTGGAATACGGCATGGAGGTCTAGGTCCTGCTCGCTCGGCAATGATATCAAACAAAAATCACACCTAGCCTTAGCTCCTAGGGCGAGAATAATACTCCGGGCTGGGGTCACAACATACCGTGAAATATCCATGTCTCTACAATGACAATGATACCCAAACAAGAAGCAAGCTGTGATTTCGCTCTTGGATGAGAACTATCCTACGAGCGTCGTAGCCACTGCGCGACAGCGGAGTCATGATCAAAAGGGTTCCGATAAGTGCGAGAGGCGGGACTGCAGGAAGCCATGACTGGCAAAATGGTGCCAGGGGCTGACAAGAAGAGAGTCGGAGAAATTGCCGAGCAGTGTGTAAGAGAGCGCTGGCATTCCAGCGTCGGGGCGAATTTCGGAGTCTTTGTCATTTGCACAATTTCCCCATGAAGGAGCCGCCCGCCCGACCCGTCGTCAGGCCCAGGGCAGGGTCAGCAGAAGAGGCGGACCCGGGGAGTGGGGGCGGGCGGGGAGAAATCCCAAGGCAGATCCCCGCTCGGGCCTCGACCTCGCGAGGAGAGGCGAGCACGAGAAAGGTAAGCTTCGATTCTCGCCCATAAACATCTTGCGCCATGTCGAATGGAATAAAAGTAAAAAGCGTCCTCCCTCTGTGTGTGTGTGTGGGGGGGGGGGGGGGAGGGCGAGCGAGAAAGCAAGAAACAGTGTGCCTGTCTGTCGGAACAACGAATTTTTGATCGGAGGGAAGATATGGCGATGCCCACCGTACCCCGCGGCCGTTAGGGTAGTGTAGTGTAGAGGAACTGGTCTCGTATGGAGTCGGAGTGTGGACGACCGGGCGAGCGGGCAGTCACCCGTGGCAATACGTAGCCAGCCTGCCTCGCGGAGACGTACAGACAAAAGAAAGCGAGGCCCACTTGGACGAACGACGTAGCGCGGTCTACAGACAAAGGCCCTTAATAGTCGTGGCTGGCAGATCATTATAGAAACGTCTTTATAAATGTTATCCTGTGCCGGGCTTCGGCCAGACCTCGAGCTGCATAGATCCATCGAGGCGTGTGTTCCATAACTGGCATCCAACCGGACAAATGGCATGTTTGTTGCAGACTGTTGTGTGCGAAATCTTCTTGTCTTGGCCATGGTGAGCCTCCGGCCTCATTTATGTTGATTCCTCCCATGGATGCAGTGTCTTGAGCTTGAATCTCTTGCATTGCGCCCACAGGCCTTTCGACAGCTTACTTTATAATTGTCGCATAAATGTGAGGGTGGCCATGTTCTCCGTTTCTACTGGCTGTGGGGCCATCGGCCTCGCGCGGGTATGTCTGCCTCCTCATCAAACTGAATGGACAGCGGCAGCTCGGGGCGAGCGGGGCCCCACTCCATATGCCAGAACTGCAACATAACAACCCGGTGTCCTCTTATAATATCGCCCCTCGCCTCACAGTGCCCGGCCAAGAAATCAAGTCAAACCCGGTGCAGTCCGTTGTGGCCCACCCTCCGGAGCGAGAAAACCTTGCTACAGCCCGATGGACGACACATAACTGTTGTTGTGGTGCAAGCAGGACGAGCGCGAGGAGGAGATGGATCTGGTTCTGGTCCCGGTTCCGGGGCGGGCCACGGGAGCTCATGATACTTCCCTATCCCTCTACCGAATACACGACGACTATTCAATAAAAAGGAGGAATGTGAGAGAGTAAACCCCTTGATGCCCCGAGGAGGGCCATCAAGCCATTCATACCCATAACAGTACAGCCACTTGTACTGCTACTGATTCCAAATACGATATTATGGTTGTTAGTTCTCTCATATTCACTCGACGAGTACAGTACAGTACGCTGTACTGACGCCGAATCGGAGAGAGCGGGCGAATACTGAGCCCAGCAACAACTCTACTCTTCACTAAAGACTAAAGACCACCCAACAATAAGTGCACTCGAGAGAAGACCTGGAAACCCACTCATATGAGAATCTAGAAGCTCATGGGGTTGCTGAGGTGTGTGTGTGTGTGATCTGCACTGATCGCCCTTTGGCAACAATGTGGGAATAAGAACGAGAAAGACAAGGAGAGGGAGAGAGAGTGAGAGATAGCTAGAGGAACTACTCGACTGTGTGACATTTCGATAGCCATGCAGCCTGGACAGGCTAGTGATCCATCGTTGAGGTGGAACGAAGTGCATGATCAAGAAGTTCAGTATGATAGCAGAGCCAGGAATAAGAAGATTGGAATTTAACTTAGATAATGAAAATACTAAGAGAACCCTTTCAAGGGAACAACAAGGATGTTTAGGAAGCGTTCGCAAGTTTAAAAGATCAGATCCCTGTAGAGCTACAAAAATGGACTGTAATATCAATATCCAAGTACAGAGGTTCTAAGCTTCAAGCATGACACTTTATAAGATACAAAGTTTCAAAGACAGTGGACGTGTTAGTTCAGGTTTTTAAAATTAGGACTTGTAAAGTTGTGGCTGTCAAAAATATTTGAAGCTTCCTTCTTGGCTTGAATAAAAAAGGTGTCTAAAAATAAAAATTAATTTCAGGGAGAAAGTCAAAAAAATATATGCACCTGTATTTATTGAATCAGGGTGTTTATGACATCCCATGGTTTATAACCTGGAAAGAATCAAGGAAATAAACTTTGGAATTGTGTGCTACATCCAGGATTGAAACATGTGCGCCGAAGGGACATTATTTAAATCATGGGAAATTGGTAAATGGTGCTAGACCAAGCCCGGTGGACTCGAAGGGACAAAAGGCCGAAAAACACCATACAAGCGAATTCAATCTAGATAATATAAGTGCCATATTTCATATCTGATTAAAATACTTTGAGGCCTAGCCCCTGGTTTCTTCCAGTTAGGTTTATTAATTGTAGAACCTCTTCTGCTATCCACTTATTCACAGAGATGATTCGGGATGTTTGAAATTTCCAAAAATCGCAAACAAATATGGATGGTGTAGTCGGGTCTCGTTGTGTAGACAAATATGACAAGTTGGTGTGTACGGCGTCCGAGTTGGAGGAGAGGATGAGGAAGTTCAGATAAAAATGAACGAAGCTTACAAGGGAGGCGGAGGAAGTACGCAAACTTGGTTTTGTCGGAGAGACGCATTGGAAAGGAGTGCGAACTACGAGAGAGACATCATTCCGAAACCCAGGAGTGACAGACAAATAGAGTCAAGTTGTCAGGCTCGAGTTGCTCGAGTCACTCGAGAGTGCTGATTTCGCGGATAGTTAAACAAGAGGTTAGAAGACGAAGAAGAACGGCAGTACCGTACATTATAACCGTATGTACTTATGAGAGTGTTGTAACGTACGTACAGTAGTTGGGTAGGGCTCGGAAATTCCGATCACAAGGCCCCGTGGATCACAGTCTTTCGGAGGGAGAGACCCGCCCGCCCGCTCGCTCGGTCCTTCACTGAGTCGTCAGGTCTGTTTGTTGGTGTTCTCAAGGGGCACATGTACCCCATGCACTCCGTACACGATGAGCACACTCATCAGCGCCTTCAACACGTGGATCCGAGCACATCCCTCACTTCGGCCTCTGCGTCGTGATTCGGCCCAGAAGGGACGTTAGATCATCTGCGCTGCCCGCCAGGACCTTTCCCCAGGGCAGTCCCTCAGCGTGGTCCTCCCATTCCACTGTTCGAAACCCCGGTTTCTGTTATTCCTCATTGTTCGGGTGGACGGCCCTCGGACCCGATCCGGCGGTTCCAGGGAAGTTACAGCGGGTCGGAGAGAAAGATTCGAAGATTCGCGTGTTGGGCGTATGAAACAAAAGGAGATGAGCGTGGGATGTGTCCTTAGGACAGGGTGAGAGGAGAAAGAGGGATAACGTGTAGAGGAGTGGGGGCCTGGGGACTGGACCGCCCGCACGCCCACACGCCCGCACGCTCGCCCCGTCGGGAGCTAAATTTGTTGGCTTCTGACTTGTGTCGGGCTGCTGAGGGCGTGGACATGAGTGAATGAATCAATGACGATGAGAAGCTGTGGTGTGGTGGGTGGAGGTGCTCGCGATCTTATGTGCTTCTGTCTCTCTCGCCCGGTCGCCTCACCTTTTACGTCTCCCGTCAATCGCCGTGAGTTGAGTCCAGTCCCAAGTTCCGGGTAGATGAGAGAAGACGAACGGCGTTGCGACGGACCGCAAAGTCGCGCTGTTCAGGGGGAAAACTTGCGGGCACGAGGTGCGGTTGGAGAGGAGTGAACGGACTGAAGCCGTCCCCCTGTTTTCCCGAACGTCGGCACACGTTGCGGATTGCTGACGAAGCTCGCCGGAGCCGACGGGGGAACTGCGTCAAAAAAGTAAGTTTTTGGGTTCGGAGCAATTCCGGAAGAATTCCCCCACTGGGCATCACCTGCAAAGCCTACACGGGTCTAGGTGGCGACGAGTCACTAATTAGTCAAAGGAGGAATTTTCCTCTTTAACGACAGCGATCAAGGGTGAAGTAAACACTGGTGACCGGCTCCAGGGGGTCAGAATCGCCAAGTCAACTTTGTTCGTAAGCGGCTCACCTCGTTCCTGGATGCTGCTGGGCCTCCGCTCCCGCCACACAGCGAGTGGTGTGTGGCAACGGGTGGCCTGATCGACGGTTTGCGACTGCTGGATACGGCAGGCAGGCTCTGCCGGAGAAAAGCTGCGATGCGGTTTGAGCTTGTATGGAGGGGAGGCACAAGAGAAAAGCAGACGCGAGGGCAGATGACGCTGGTCCAGTCGTCGAAAGGCACAAGTGCTGAACGGGGTTCGATCGGCAGGGCAAAGGTGACAGACGGTGACAGGGAACTCCATGATGGGGCCCAGCTTCTCCCATCCATGTCCGAATCACAGGTTATCCACGAGGTCAGCGGCGCACGGGCCAGATAGGCTGGAGCTGTGGGGCGGCGATGGGGAGGTAGCTTCCGTGAAAAGTTCCATTCTCTCCGTTCACCATCATTCGGGATTGTAGATTACATCATCCAACTGAAAAATACTCACCACTCCAATGATTCGCCTCGCGCTCGCTCTGCTTTCCTCCTCTACCTACCCGTTAAACCGCCTACTGTCTCATCTTTCCCTCACCCCCTCGCGCACTCGCATGAGGATCAGCAGCAGCAGCACAAGCGGCAGTCTGTCAGTCCAGCATCGGTCTGCGAGAGTTGTGAAAGGCGAGGGAGGGGCGTCCCGGGGGAGTTGGCATGACTGGCTGGCCTGGCATTCGAGAATGAAAGAGAGGGGTGCCTTTCTCGTGAAAGCCTCTTTGGATCTCTTTGCCTTTCAACCAAATCATATGGACAGTCGCCCCGACGCTGTCTAGACGTCTCACAATATTAAAATCGCAGTTTTCCGACTGAGAATCACCTTTCTTACTGCACAGTGGAAATGGTGAGACTTTGTCAATACCTAGACGATACAGTGAAAGTAGATAAGAAAGAATGAAAAAAAACACGAGACACGACAGACGGACACACATACGATGCTTCCTTATGAGCATGAACTTCATCGTACTTTAATGGAGTGGCGAGGGAAATTTGGGAAAAAGAATATCGACGAAACTCTGAAGGGGAATATCTGCCTCTTCGCTTTTGGACCTCCCACGCTCAGCGAGGGAAATGAATGAGATCATCTGCCCAAGGGGCCGTAATGCAGGCAGGCAGGCAGGCAGTCAGATGTTCCAGGGTTTTGGTTCAAGTGCTACCAGATAATTTCTGGATTTTATTACGGAGACTGACCCTGTCTTTGGCTTTTCGGGTTCGGAAGTTTGGAGCTTTGCCTGCTTCGAATTTGACTCCATCGAGGGGGTCAAACCCGTAAACATCTCCAAATCCAGTCCCTGTCTGAGCCTTCGCTTAATCCCCTGTCCACTCTTGTCGTGATCGATCAATTCATTACCTGTCCACTCCGTCGCACCTCATCTCATCTCTCTTCAGCCCACGACATGGTCCAGCCTCTTGTACGTGGTGAACTCCACCCTCCTCGGCCTCTCCGTGTCTTTTCCAACAACATGGAACCTGATGGAAGATTCGCGCAAGTGGTTGGAATTTATCATTTCTTTGAGATTTCGCCTCTCCCGGACCACATGGAACATCTCGCCGCACCCGGCCCAGGGTCCATCGGTCGTACCCATCACTTCCGGAACGACGAGGACATTGCCATGTCCTGTGTGAAATGAGGCCAGAGCAAGCTAGAACCGAGTGAACCGACATCCCTCACCCTCCTGCTGCTGCTCCTGCTCCTGCTCGTCGGCCTTGGTTGTATCATATGATACTGTAATATATCCAAAGAAGGCGGCGGCAGCCGCCTACGAACCACCCGCCCCTTCAACGACTCCCCGCGACCGCAGCCGGGTCCGGTGCTCGACCTTCCTTCTCCTGCTCTTTCTCCGCGACTAACGTGTTTCAGGCCCAGGAGAGGCTTCCGGCACACGCTTGCGTGCACAACCGGTCGGTCGAGCGGGGTCGAGACTTTCCGGCCGTCAGTCAGTAGGACTTCGGAAAGCAAGAGGCGATCGACACACGTTTGCGCGAGGCCGCGAAGATGGGGCCGGCAGGCAGGCAGGCAAGCTGGAGAGAAGGTTGCGAGAACTCCCAGGGGACTATGAGGCCGAGCGTGAGTTCGTAGTACAGGTGGCTTGTCCTGTCGGACACGTGTCACGAGAAACGATTCGCGTTTGTGAAAGTCAGAGGTTGTCTTCTCTCTTGGATAAGTATTCCGGCCAGAGAGCAGCGCGCCGACCTTCCACGCACGCACGCTGTGATCACGTAGCAGACCTGAGCCGAGCCTCGGCTCGGCTCCCCACGCCCGTGCCTTCGCGGGAGCCCTGGTTGGGCCCCGCCATGATCGGGAGTTTTTGTTCCCGATTACCACGAGTGATGAATGCATGGGCTGTGGAGCTGCATGTATGGACGTTGGTTTTCCTTCGGAAAGCTCCCGGTCTCCGTAGTTTCGGAAGAACACTGTAGGTGTGGAAGAAGCGCCCAGAGTGGCCACCACACGTGGCGTCGGATTAACGAACATTCGTGCAAGTGGACGTGTTAGCGTCGTCGATGTCGCCAAGGAGTCCGCCACCTGCCTGGGAGCCCGGGAAGCGTGAAGCATGAGAACGTTGTCGACTCCTAGGCCCGGGACGCAGTAGATCGCTCGTCTGGTGTGGTAGTAGTGACCCGTTGTCGGTACGAGGGTAATAAGATCCCGAGATTCCCCGGCGGGCAGGCGGAGGCATGTCGCACGCTTTATGAAGCAAGGCAGTAAGTCCGGTCAAGTGGGCTCGAGCGCGCCCTCAAGGTTCCAGCCCCGTCCCGTCCCGCGGGCGAGCGAGCGAAATAGATTGGGCACAGTTGGGTGTCCACGTTCCACGTGACCAGGGGCCAGCGCAGAAGACATGAGTGCGTGACTCGGATGTTATTGTTGTCCAGAGAGGGTGTGGGCGAAACAAGGGCAGGCGAGAGTCGGGCTTGGATTTTACCCATTGCCTAATTTACGACTCGCTCTTCGGCCGGCTCCCACGCGCACTACCGCGCACGCTCTCTCTCCGGTCGCTCGTACGCATGGTCCCTGCACTCGCTGCCCGCCCTCGCTGCATGTAGGCCCGGCCCGTGCCACCTCCCCAGGGTCCCCCAGAGCAAGCGAGCGAGCGAGCGTGGCCTCGGAGTCTCGGACACCTTTTCTCGCTCCTGCTTCTGCTTCTACACCTCGTGCTTCATCCGGCGGACGGACGGACGGACGGGCGGGCGGACAGAGATGGACTGACCTCAGCAGCTTCTCAGGTCCCCCCCGAGCCGCGACTTGTTTTCTCTACTTTCCATCATTTCATGCTGCTGCCTCAGCCTGCCTGCCTTGCTCGCTGCTACACATCCACGGCCCTGTGCGCGCCTTTCCTGCTTTTGGCTTTTCTTTCCCACTGCTTCCCTCCCTCCCTCCTCCCTCCTTATCGTCTTGCGATTTCATCGCTTCGCCTTTTGAGCGACAACTGCATTAGATTAGTGAGGGGACTGGAAAGCAAACGCGGTGCGGGGGCTCATCGGGCCAGATTACCGCAGGTCGAACGAGACGAGGACGAGGACGAGGCAGCGTGCCGGGTTGTCGATACGCCGCTCTTGATTTTCTTCGGTCTTTGCTTGCTTGCTTCCTTCTTCCTTCGTCTTTGCTCGCTCGCTAGCTCCATCTCTCTCTCTCTTGGATTCTTGTTCCTCGTGATCCTGTGGTCGGAAGGCCCGGTGGTGTACCCGTGATCCAGTGAAACCGATTTATGCGAGAACACAAATGTTCTGCGGGAAATTGGCGACTTAAGTGGATTACCCAAAACTATGGTGTGGCGCCCGTGGTCGCTTACAGCTCGGGGGAACGCTTTTACGAAACCATCCACAGTGAATCTGCTCCCATCAACTTGCTCGTCGACAGTGGAGATTACGCCCATGAAGGGCTCCAGGGTTGGCAGGAGCCTTCTAGGCGACACATAGGCTCCGGCTCATAGATCTCTGGTTCAGCAACTGGCTCAAAGCCTGAAGCCTTTTCTCTTTGGGTCGGATTGGATGCTGACGCCCTCTCGCCAGGGTTTCTACGCTGATGATGAGCCTCCCTCCCACCGTGCCGCAACCACGAGAAGCGATGAGACCACGGGAGTGGTTTAAGATCTGACTTTTCGGGCAACGCACCTTCGAGAACGCTGGTTCCCGAAACACGGGTTCTCTCCAAGGCGACCAGCCACAGTTGTACGGGACAAAGTTTGTTTGTGAGGATCAGAGGATCATCCCAGGCCGGACTCGCAGTAAGCTGCCCGAAAGTGAGTCAGCAGCACTTTTTTGCCATCTTCGTTGCGCTCCATGGTGACGTCGCCTGTGTCGGTGGAGGTAGAGAGTTATGGATGCAGCCTAAGAAGGATAGGAAGTTTCAATGCTGCGTCGTTTACGCTTGCTGCTAGTGGCAAGCTTCCAGTGACTTTGCTTCGAAAAGACGAGATGGGGCTGTAAAGAGTCCAGCATGTAGGAATGAGAAAAGAAGTCCCGCGGTGAGGGTTACCTTGTCGGAAAGTTGGAAGACTTAGCATGTATGAGCAAGACACCGATAGACCTCCCGAAGACAGTCAAGGCTGACGACCTCAAGCTGTCACCTGCAATCGTCCGCCGAAGATATGTTTCCGGAGCCAGATCCCCGATAACCTGACGAGGTAGACACAGTAGGAACCCAGAGATCCCCGGAGAAAGGATGTGCGATCTCCTCTCGTTAGCTTCGCGCACACCTCGACTCCGGAAGGGTGCGAATTAAGTTTGTCGACGAGTCCCTTAAGCACGACGCAATCTAGAACTATCCTCTAGCGCTGCGGTGATGGTGACAGATACCCTCCAAGACCGGACAGCCGTAGGCCGTGTGCAGTGAAATGTCGCTCGTTGGGATGTTTGAAAGTAACCTGAGGCTTTTCAACTTGGCTGAACGTTCGAACGCCTGGATTTTGCAGCATTTGGAGCGTGTGCAGAGAGCGGGGGGCTTGCGAAAATTCGTCAAGGTGGCAACGTGTCTCGAGGCGGAACGGGGGTCGCGGCCGGGGCTGGTGGGCAATGCTCTGTTGCAGGGCTAAAAGAGAAGGCAAGGTAAGAGCGATTATCATGCTGAATGGGTTACACAGAGGGCACTGACGACATTCCACAAGCGGCCAGCATTGCAGCAACAGAGCATGGCCGTTTGTGGATTGTTATCAATGCTCTGTGTGTTTCCCATTCAACCTGATATGGACTCTTGCCCAGGCCGCTCTTTGGGAGTTGCGCGAAAACCTTTCCACTTTCGGGAGTCTGTCATCGAAGCTCAAGCTTCTTCTTGTCTCTCTTCGACTATGGTCGACTCCAACGATCCGGACGATTCTGGATCATCTCAGGCTCCGAACACTTCAGAATCCAAGCACCCCCATATTCGTGATCCATCCTCACAGCGCCCCGAGTTAGAGCTTTCGATTTCCAGCCTGAACGATGCACAGAGAAACACTCAGCCCACTCCACCTCCGAGGTTGCGGTCCGTAAAGGAGGAAATTGATCCATCTTCGACTAGTACTGGTAGAGACGATGCGTTTGGAGGCCCTGGCGGTGGGGAAGAGGAATCATCATTTACGGGCCCCCCTAGGAAGCGTGCGAGGATGAGTCCGTTGGCTTTTAGAATAGAAGATAGCCAATCAGGAATACGTGAACAACAGCAATTGCAACGACATGTTTCATTATCGTCGAGTAGTGACGTTACCGGTCTGCAAACTTTGATGCCCAGCAGATCTCTGCCGACTTATAGGACTGACAGAGAACCCAGTCCTAGTCCAAGCAGGGGCTCGGCAGGTGGAAGTAAACCGATAGCGTCGTGGTGGTTGATGCCCAAGGGGGCTGGTTCCGTCACTGAGTCGCAGCATTATCAATCCGCCCAAGATTCAGCGCGTGCCAATTTTGGAACTGAGGGACGAGGGACGAATGTGGGAAATACCACACAGGAAAAACCCCACCAATTTAAGGAGCCATCGTTTTTCCCTAATATGCTAAGTAGGATGGAATCCGAGCACGGAAGAAGATTTGAGGATGTCCCTTCGACTGCCGCTCCCAGGCCTCTATCATCTGATCAAGGGCGTCCGCAGTCGCAACAGCAGGATCCGCCGGAGCATCTGTTCTTCTCCCAGAGAAAAGAGGCTTCGACGTCTCGAGTAAGTAGTGCTTCCACAGTGAGCGAAGAGACTGCTCCAAGATCCAGCTTGACATTCTTCCCAAAGACTCTACACGAGAGCGACCCCGGTTTTGCCCAGCCTGGTCCTCAACATTCTTTTGAGCCTCATAGTGGGAGGAGGAGGCCCCAACCTGTGTCCGAACCGCAGCAGCAGCAGCATGTGGTATTCGAGAGGGAAGTTCAGCAACAAAATCCTCAGCAAGGCGCATTTGGTAGGCAACAGCAAGCTCCTGAACAACGGATTCTACCACAAGGACCTAGTCTACAAGTTCTCCCGGGCGGTGGGAACGCGAACACTAGCTTTTATGCTCGGATATTAGATGCAGCGCAACAGCCTGTGTCCAATCCATTTCCACAAACAGGATTTGCAGGTACTTTCAATCCGGCCGGTCTTAGTTTCAACATTGCAGGGCAACAAACGAGGGGTACCTCTCAACTAGGTGTTGGGCCGGATCACTTCGGCGGGGAAGCCAATCCGAGCCTTGTACAGCAACAAGTTAATAACGAGGTCATGCGCAATCTTTTTGCTGCTCATCCGAGCATAACATCCTTTGCTCCCTTCATGTCCCAAATGCAAACTCCAGATCCTGCTCGGTTGAGCTTCCCAAACATTAGTTCTCTAGACTTTTTGCAGTCGTTACAAAGACAAACTTATCCACCACCAGTATCCGAGAGGTATAATCGGGCCCAGGGGGGCCAGGTGATTGGGGGTCATCAGCTACAGCAGGAATTCACATATGCGAGTGCCGCACCACCCTCGTCGCATCATAGCTTGTCCGCGGAATTGAATCTCTCCCTTCCCCCTCGTGCCACAACGGGACTGCCAACGTCAGCAGGTCTTCGAGAGTTTTTGTCTCCTCAAGGTCCATTGTCTGCAAGCCAAGGGAGGGCTCCTGCAGTGGGAACTCATGCGTTCACTCCCGCCATGGAACTCCCCACCAATTTGTCTTTACAAGGTCCTAATGCACCGTCACCTCTGACGGTTGTCATGGAAGGACGATCCGTTGGTCGACGTTTATATCTCCCAGACTACGACGGGTATGAAAATTTTGCCGAAGCGATGAGGTCCATTTTCGAGAGTTACATTTCGTCCCAGGAACCTCGTGCTCATGGAGAGAGCTGCACTCTTGCCAATGCCATTCCAGGATATGTTATTGCGTATGAGGACGAGGAAGGGGATGTTCTTCTAGCCGGTGATCTTCCCTGGAGGTGCATTACGTCGCATCCCTCCCATCAAGATGAAGTTTCTACGAGTAGGGAACATGGTGGCTGATTGTTGTAATCCAATTTGCTTGTTTCTAAGTAGGATCTTAAATTACAGGATGGAGAGAGCGATCAATCCCTAGTTATTCTTTCTCCCTGAAAAAATTCAAATTCTCTGTCTGTCTAACTTCATGTTTCAACGTTATTGTTAGGGAGTTTGTCCGAGTGGCGAAGCGAATTCGGATCGTGTCCTCCTCAAAGATCAGTTTCAAGCCACCTACCGGTACGAAGATGAATCGTCTGACCCTTCTTGGAGACGTTCTATGTGTAGTGTAGTTAGTCATGCGAACAAAGAGGAGAACGATCCGCAAAGAATCACGTTTGCACCCGATTGAGTGCACGTGCGCTACGGCATTTCATCGCGTACCTCACTTCGCGACTGAAATAATAAACTTCGGGTTCTTGGATGGCTTCACAGGCATGTGAAGTTAAGTGTATCCTGTCGCACGCATGGGCCTTCGAAGAATGACTGCGGCGAGAAGTATGAACCGGAGCTCTAGGTCAAGCTCATAGATTGTACAATCAGCGGTACCGACCTTGACTCGTGAGATTGACGCGACGATTGTCGTAGTCGTTTTAGAGTACCAGTACGGTACTTCCTGTTAAATTTTCAGTTATTTTAGTTCATCGTACAGCGGACTGATGAGCTTACAGATCTGAAGCAGATTCGTAGTTCAAGCGTGTTTGATTGTTGTCACATCGTCTAGTGCCAGTCCTACATGATTATACTATGGTGCTTAGTAGGTGGAAAGCATCTAGAGCTTAGCCCTCTGATGTACTGGCGATGGTGCTGTAACAGTCTTGTGACAGCAAACATGACGGCAAGATTGAAAATCTACCTTAGAGAATATTGCCACTGGTTGACAAAGTACGAAGTGCTCGGGTGCATTCTCTCCGCATCTACTACATGGATCTGAGTGTGTGAGACTTCTACCTGGTTTCAACATCAATGCGGCCTGGAAAATCCCAGGGACCTAGTTCACCCGTGATCATGTCAGCCTAGGAGGTCGAACGACGTCAACAGTGTCTTGTCCCTACACGGCATGACTTAATAAACGAGTGGAGTGACATGGTTAGGTAGAATAAGTAAAGTCCATAACGTCCACCTTATCCTCGTCGGGAACATCTGATCATTATATTTCGATTCTCGGTTCATGTGTTGTTGACGACAGCGTGTGTGTTGATGGATGCAGGACCTTCTCGGTCTTGACAGCGAATGTCTGGAGGATTGGACCTTAAAAGACTTTCATGAGCTACGGAGGAGTGCTCAAGATTGAGAGATAGTTTTCGGTCCAACATTTAATTCTTGAGCATGCTGGCAGGAAAGCTTCTGCCTCATTTTTTACCAAATAAGATTCAAATGCTTAACCGCACCCTCCTCCATACATGCTATAGAGTCCAGCCTTTCGGTAAAGATGGAAGGCCAGGAGCGCATTTGTTGTGGGTGTTGTAGGAAAATTATTGTATCGCTTAATAAATTGAAATTGCAATGGAGTTTCTGGCCACTCGAAGGTTGAGATGCTCGTACAGTTTTTCCCCCTCGTCGCTGCCACGTTCCATCTTTATGTGTGCAGAAAAGCTTGCCTCATCATTGCCGACTTGTTTTCCCTTTCCACTTCAGAATCATCGGGAAATATATGGACGGATTGTTCTGTCCGCGCATTCCCTTCTCGCTGCTAGCTTTGTCATTGTAGCCCTCGTTGGGGCGTCTGTGTACACACGACGACCGGTACTTTTGGTAGAGTCCAGCCTACTCTTTTAAGCTTTTGTTCGGTTAGGTGATTGATTCTCTGCCATGTAGACAGATAAGTCTTCTTTAAAGAGTTGTCATGAGTGACTCGGCTTGAAATCTGTTGGCCAATGTCTATCTCGGACCTCGCTTTACTGATCAGACAGACAGACGATCGTCAAACGATCGAGTCCAGGGATGTTCCTCGCCCGCACAGTAGAGCGCCAGGACCGGCGTCGGAAGCGAGCACTGTAAAGCATGTATTGCGGCACGAGCTCGCGATCCGACAGTCGGGGACGTGCGCAGTGGCACAAACTTACCTGTCGATCCGATTGACTGCGACATGTCTGACCGAACGAACAGCTCCGCGTCGCGCATCGTCCTCAAAGCGTTCTGTCCAGCCAGCCAGCAGGTCGTTGCGCTCGATGTAGCAGGTCGACCATAGACCAGTGACCTGCACAAGCCGAGCATCGCAGCACGCTCGGCAATTGCGGAGAAAAGGTCATCGACAACTTCTTGCTCCTTGCTCCTGTTTCCTCTAGGTATGTGCAAGCGAGCGAGCGAGCGAGCGAGGCAAGCTTCCGATGGCGATCCGGTAGGACTCAGGCAGACAGACCATACCAGTCGATCCGATGGAACGGCCTCATGTGGATGCTTGTCGGCCCGCCCGCCCGCCCGCCCTACTGTCTGTCGGTCGCCCACTCTACCGCGCGGACAGGTGGAGTCGAGGGGTAATTGATGTCTTGGGACAAGTGGTCTTCTGTACCTGACATGGGACCGGTGCCGTCCGCAGATCATGCCCTACAAGTCAGACGCTCTCTCCTAATCCCTCCCTCCCCTAATAATCCGCGTCCACCAATTCTCCTAATTCTTCTAAGCAGCCCCTCGCCCTTCCCTTCCCGCTGTGCCCGGATCACCACTTTTCCCTGACCGACCGGAGGCTAGGCTCGGGTCGACGCTCCCTCTTCGCTTCTGTCTGACCATTACGAAAGTCCGAGCGAGAGTGAAACGCTGTCACATTTCGCTCGTGACATACTCTCGTGGCACTTAATTGCTCGTGACATACTCTCGTGGCACTTAATTGTGCTTAATTACGGATCGCAATCAGGCCTGGCGTTGGCACTGTTGGGAGAATCTGGGTCAGATCTTCCAAAGAACTCCTGCTCCTTACCTCGTAATCGAGGATCGTAAAGTTATATTCCCTTCCGGCTTCGACATTATCCCTCATGGCAGACATCGATCATGATTCTGTGCATGGCTTCTCGCGGAAGGTTGGTTGGAGGGCCCGAGCCGAGTCGCTAAACTAGCGCTCCCATCTGGAGTGACGGTTGTTCAACGGTTGTGGAGGCGGGGGTGGGGGTCTTCGATCAGAGCCGAGGGCCCCTCGAGACTTCTCGTGCGTTCGTTCCAGCGGAGGATTTCCTACTGCCTTCGTCCGTCGTCTTCGTGCTGTGCTGAATCGTTCGAAGTAAAATCTTCTATCATAAGCTGCGGAGGACTGAGTTCGGGAACCTTGTGGTCCCACCGAATCTCATGAGTATAAGCGATCCTCCAGACGTTTACCAGTCTAGTCATCTTCCCTGACGTCCAAAATGTCAACATCTGCTCAAGAAATTATCATGTTACTTTTGCCCCATTACAGTGACGATTCTCTCCCGTCTCAATTGACGGAATTCTCTCCAGCATGCGGATCAATCTATCGCTGTATCCATCGATTCACTTATCTGAGCTGAGTTGTAGTGACCTAGACACGCGACTTACAACTCAGCTTCCCCTCCCCCCTCCCGAAGAAAATGAATGTGCCTAGGAGCTCATAGCATGTTTCCCCTCGTGATGCTATTGGGGCCTAGCCCCATCCTCTTTGCTTCGTTACATCCTCGCTCCTCCTTTCTACGAGCTCATATGATTGAAAGTCTATCATGAAGTGTTGCGATTGGCCACAGCTGCACGGCGCAAGTGAGCATGGATTGAACATAAAGTTCTTATCGGGGTGACATACAGTCGCTGGAGGCTCACTTCCCACCACGAAATTCATATCTAGTGCCCTCCCTATCTTCCTCGCTCGCCAGCAGTTTCTAAATCTGGATGGATGGATAAGTCAGTCAGTGGACATTGTTGCCTTACATGTGATCACGTTCCTTGCGAGAACCTCGAGAATGTCATTGCTCGTTTGGATCGAGGACCTACTAAACGGGTGGAGTGAGTAGGCAGACAGACAGTTTTTGAATTCAGCTCGACATCCATCGGGCTAACAATGCTATTGCTGCTCATGAGCTTCTTCTTCATCCGTCTTTCCAACATATTCTTCGATTACGTAATGCCGCCGCAGATGATAGCCATGTTCTCATACCGTTTTATGTTTGCTTGTCTTTTTGCACCCGATCCGAACCATCCGGATGGCAAGAAAGCGCATCGACCATCCACTTCCTTCACTGGTGACAAGGGAGCTAACAGGTCAGTCGATGAGTGAAAATCGTTGAAAAGCTGCTCCATCGTGTGAGTGTGAGGCTTTTGCTTGTCTTACAGATTCTTCCAAGTCGGTGGAACTCTGCAACCGCTTTAGCAGACCTGCATCACGCTGAACAACCAACAGGCCATTAGCGTGCAGAAACACTTTTGTGTGCCATGTTATACACTTTACTACGGCGTGGGTGCGAGCCATTGTGAAGGACTTTGTTAGACAGCCGCATGGGGAACGTACGTGTGGAGCAGAGGAGAAGATGCAAGTGCTTGGACATCGATCGGTTTGAAACTGGAAAAGCACATCACCTCCCATTTCAAAGAACTAGAGTGGAAAAAGAGGCAACCAGGAATGTAGTAGAAAGGATGGGAGTACCCCATGGACTCGTATGCGGAGGGAACCAGACGGGTGATTGGTTAGGTACAATAATATCACAATGGGTTATATCATATAAATTGAAACTGTTTGAAATGGTTTGAAACTCTCTCACATTTGTAATCCTCAAAAACCATTCTCACCCAAACCAGGTAAGGGTATTCTTAAACACATTCCAACACTCACTCAATGTGAATAATATAACTTAAATGTATTATTTCAACTAACATGTAAGGACTTCGCACACAAAAGGTCGGGAAATGATAGAGCATGAGAGTGATAATGATCACTAGACAAATCGATTCATCTTCTGTGGATCGATGACTCATGATTTTTTATGATATCTATGACAAGAAAACTTTGGAATTCATAGGTTATACAGTATATTCTTAAAAGTTTTACACTTCGTATGTTATTAGATGGAAAGAATGTTACTCGGGATTGCTTGGGAATGACTATTGTGGTATTAGATGGGAAGAAGGTAACGATTGAGTGTTTTGGAAGACCTAGTATCGTCTCAGATGGGAAGAATGTGCCAATGGAGTGCTTTTGAGAATATTCTTGGATAAAATGGGATGCTTATGAGACAGTGGGATCAATGGACTTTTACAACTTTAAGTTGATGATCACACGAGTGGTGAGAGTTTTTGTGTTGCTGACGAAGCGAGGGGAATGATTTGAGTAATTTCATTCCATCTGATGACTTTCTTTCGAGGATAACTGACTTAATGATCCAATCGAGGCTCTGGACTTTAGCAAACTAGTACAAATGCGAGAGAGCTCGTAGGATTTCGATTTTGTGCACAGAAGAAAATCGAATGAATGGCATGTATTCATGGAAGGTACATGATTGCATCAGAAACCCATATTAGTGGGTTGATGACGATAGGAAGAGGAATGAAAGATATTCTCACTTGATTTCCTGACATTTGCGAGCAAGATCTTCACTTCACGACCTATCAACGCTAATCTCAGATGTTTACAGTACACTATGAGCTTCTCTAACCCAAACACACGCTTGGCCAAAGAGTACAGCAGGTCAAATCTGAAGTTTATGATTGCAACCGTGCTCAAGTGATATCCAGGCCCATGTCTTTCTTTTCGGGTTTGCTCCCAGCACCAGATGTCACTACTGTGCATTCAGAGTGCTAGCAAAGCAACAAATGGCGCAAGATGATGCTGTGGCTTCTTAGAGATGTGGTCAAGGGAAAATAGGAGATCCCAAGTCAACATCATAAAACATACTCACTCCTCCCAGAAGAGAGAAGAGATGACATAAATCCGGAAACAGTAGACCCGCTCCTAGCGAATGTTCGATCTCACGTGCGATCCTTCCTGTGGAGTGTGAAAGGGAGTGTCATGGTACTTTCAGCTAAAGAGAGAGAGAGACTCACTCTGAGTGAGTGTGTGTGTGTGATGTAAGCAGAGATAACGACCGAAGCAAATGTCTTCCGTGCACTGATGAGAATTCTCTGTCTGAATCAACCACCAAACGCAGATGGCTTTCCCAATCTAAGATCCCAAATGGCCCAACGAACCCAAAGTCCGAGAACGGATAGGGCTCTATGAGGAAACACGTGATTAGATAAAACTAAACGCGATGAATAAGACTTGTTTAAGTTATGATAATGTCGTCTGATGATCTGCAATCAACGAGTATTCCACTCTTCCCCATATAAACTCGAGGCCGTTCTGACTGAAAATATGCACCCAAATCTCATTTTTTGCTACCGGCCTCTGCGTGATCAAGGAATTAATTAAACGGTTTATCCGCCAGATTTAACGCGAGAATCCATCGACCATGCAAATAACCCTCTTAGTTTCTTGGAAACCACATTTTCACTACAGCATGAGTATGGCTCCGTCACTCGTGCTGGATTGTGAGATTCGGTGCTGGCTCACATCACGCTAATCATACTTCACAGAAAATGCTTGACTAACTACCCTAGCATCTTGTGGAACCTTGTGCTCTGCAAGAGAGTAGAGCCTTGATTTGCAATGTCCAAGCATTGAATCTTCAGCAGTGTTTTTTGAGATTCGAGCGTTCACGGTAAAATAGAAGGGAGAGCACGATCAATATACTAATC